CTGTCAGAAAAACGCCCCTCGCTGGGCCCCGCCCCCTCCTGCCCAGACCAAGCGGCCTCCGGAAGCTTCTCCAGCTCCGTCAGCCCGTCCCGGGCATGATGCCCATCTCCCTCGCTGGACGGTCACCTCCCTCCCCACTTCACCCTGGGGGCAGGCAGCATCGGCAGCACATGCTGAGGACACGGGTTGGGTCATCATTCCAGGGCTGGCAGGGCTTCACGGTGCCCAGGAAGGAGGGTGAAGGATGAGGAGAGCTTTGCCTGGCGAAGAGGAGTTGGGGAGAACCTGAGCAAAGGAATGACACGATCGAGCATCGCGTTGTCGTTAGGTCTGATCCAAGCGCAGGGACGGCCCCACCTCGCCGACTCCCATCCCCGTGCTGTTCACAGCTCATCTTTCTTTCCTCCTGTTCTTCATTCGACAAACGTCTCTTGGCTGATATATTCTGAACGTCACGCTTACCGGTAGCACGTCTCGCCCCTTCATTTCTTTGTGCCAGAGACTTTTCTATTTCATTCTTCCCAGGAATGTGGTTTCCTTTTGGCTAGAAAAGCTTATGTGTCGTCTGATTCCTCAGCCCTCTCAACTCTCACTCGTTGACAGTTTGATTTGCTCTGATGGGCTTGGAGGCCCGCCTGCTTCCTGGACCTGAGGTCACCACGAAGTCCACAGCGGCTCATAGCTGTTCCCGCCTGTGACTCTTGGTGTCCAGAGAACGTGTTTGTGCCAAAAGCATCTTCCAAGTAAAATATATTTTAGCAATTAGGCCTTTTTGTAGATGTCCAGACCCTGGGCCAAAGCCTTGGTCGATCCAGCAGCAGTTCACGGTGAAGTCTTGATTCCGAAGGGGCAGAGAGTCCTGTTTCTTTCTATGCATCACAGAGCACCTTTGTGGAGGGCCATGCCCTCAGACTGTGTCAAGAGCTTGAGCTGGCGAGACAGAAATTTGTGACCTGGAAATACTCATGTAACACTTCTTGTCTACGGGTTGGAACCAGGGAGCTCTTACCTGTTTGCATTAGTGGTTGTTGATTCGGTCCTCCCCACGGCCTTCCAGGCGTCACGTGACTCAGTTCTTGCACATTAGTGCCTGGCGTGTCTGGCTACTCGGTCGGCTATCTCTTGGCAAACTACCTCGTGGGCCTTAGTTTGTTTAAAAAAGGCTTTATTGAGGTGTAATTCACATACTATACGATTTGCCCATTTAAAGTGTATAAACCAATAACTTATGTTCAGATTTATGCAACCATAATATAATCACAATCAACTCAGGGGCATCTTCATCACCCCAAAAGAAAACTCATACCTCTTAGCCATCACCTGTCGACCATCTCATCCCTCCCAGGCAGCCGCGAATTTGTCTAGATTTCCCTAGTCGGCACATTCCATATAAATGGAACCATATAATATGTGATCCTTTGGGACTGGCTTCTTGCATTTAGCATGAGATTCTCATGGTCCGTCCATGCCGTAGCACGTGTCAGTACTTCATTCCTTTTTAAGGCCTGGCCAAACAGCGTTCCATTGTATGGATCGACCACATTTCACTTATTCATTTATCAGCCGATGGATATTTTGGTTGTTTCCACTTTTTGGTTGTTTCGAATAACGCTGCTGGGAACATTCGTGTGCAACTTTTTGTGTGGCCATGTTTTCATTCCCCTTGGGTACACAGGAAATATGCAGAAGATGAGGGCAGGGAGGCTCACGCCTGGTGTTGGCGGAGTGCAGAGGCCACCTCACACCTGCTGACGCACTCTCCATCACTGGCACCCCTCCCCCTCCATCACCATCTCACGACTAAGGAAGTGGGCCTGGAGGGATGGAGGACTTGCCTCCAGCTCGGAAGGTGGAACTGCATTCTTTCAAGAGCTCGTGTGCAGGAGGGTCTGGGAACTGGTGTCGAGCAGGGCCTGTCGCAGGTGCGCTCGAGCCCCCCGCAAACCAGGCTGCTCACTCGCGATTCTTCCCCTCCAGGGCGCTTCCTCAAACTGGTGGAACCATCGCCATTTTCAGCATCACGCCAAGCCCAACATCTTCCATAAGGACCCAGATGTGAATATGCTGCACGTGTTAGTCCTGGGCGAATGGCAGCCCATTGAGGTACAACGAAAGGGGAGGTATTAACGTGGGAGGTGTTTGGCCTGAGTGGGGAGCAGGGGAAGAATCCTGTAAGGTGAATCGTTGAAGCTGAAATTTCTGTGGAATGGCCTGACATGTAAATAATAGATGCAGCTCCTTGTAGCGTTTAGATGGCTCCTTCCCGTCTACCAGTTCCACCGGGCGGGGAAAAGCATGTCCTGGCTTGTTTCTTCCCAGGGGAGAAGGGAATCTGGTTCCAGTTGGCAGGAAGGCACAAATTCCAGGACTCAAGCTTGGTCCCCAAAGGCCAAGGCTCAAGGAAAGCTTATTTGGAAAGTCACAGTCTTTGATGCTGGAAGGGACCTTGGCATGGTCTAGGCCAACCTGCTTCACCAGTCGATGACAAAGCCGGAGTCAGCAGGAGGAGGGGATGTGTTCAAAGTCACATAGTTGGTGGCCATTCTAGGATGGGGAGGCCCCAGAACTGACAGGTAGCCATTTCTTTCTACTCTGCCATACCGCCTTATTTTAATCTCAGTACACATTTTTTATTATAAATATACAACATACCTATTATAAGCATTGAGCAGTCCATCACCTTAACCACTCGGCCACCTCGTCCATAAGCATTTAAATGGCACAGAATCATCCAGAACTTTAAAATGAGTCTCCTGTTATCTCCACCATCCCCTCTTTGCCCCAAATGTCATGTCCTTGAGGGTGACAGCTGTTGACAACACGCTGTATATTTTCAATGTGTGCATATATCTGTTTTTCAAAAACAAATGAAAACATAGATATTCTATTCTGCAACTTGCCACCTCACCAAACGTGGACCTCCTTCTGTGAATTCAAGTCCACTGGCATCTGCCTGGGACTGTCCTGTGCTCTGCTGTATTTCTATACGTAACGTAACCCACGCTATTTTATAAGACGGGAAAATTTGGTGTTGCTGATTCTTAATTTCCTTCTAATCAGAGCACCCCGATTTATTTGAAGATTGTCTACACGTAACACTTTTTTTTTTTTTTAAGTGGAGCCTCCTTGTGACAGTCTCTGTTACGGTTTAATTTAACAACAACAACAAAAGATCTACATATACGTTGCTTTTGGGAAATTGTTGATGCTGTCAACCAAAGTTGAGAAGGTCCTTGTTGCTTTCGTGCAGATCTTAGCCTCAGAGAGTGGGGCACAGAATAGGGGCTCAGCGGACCTTTGTAGGGGACAGGGTCCCGAATTTCATCATATTCCCAGCGGTGTCGGCACCCAAGGCTAGGAACTAGAGAGCCTGTTCCTCTTCTCTCCCGTTTCATGTCCGCCCAAGAGAATATCCGAGCAGAAACGTGATTTTTCTATGACGTCATCGATTCAGAGAAAATGAGCCAAAACTCAGAAGCCTATCTCTCTTGCCCGGTGGGGATCTTTCCTCTCCCAAAGTACATGTTTGCGTTTTTCTATGAAAGTCTGCCAGCTTTGACTAGAAGTACCTAGATGGTGGACTTGATTAACTTGGGGCCTTCTGAGAAGTGAAGATTAAGGCTTCCCTTTCTGACTGAGGCTTCATGTCGTAGAGCTGTTGGCCGTCCTGACAGTCTCTGTGTCCCTAACAACAAGATCTAGCGTCACCAACAACGCAAGCAAGAAGGCATCTCTCCTCCCTGTGTGGTGGCCAGTGAAATCTCTCCTGGCATCTCTCTGTAGATACTTCTGGAATGCTGCCTTTGGGCAGGGAATGGATGGAGGTTTTAGGGATCCGGTCATCCTGTTGTCGATGGCGTTTGAAAGACCACGGCCTGGGCTACGGTGCCCTCTGAAGTCCTCTCTCGCACTCACGGGGTTGGCGGGGGGGGACCATTTGCTTCTGGATTTCTGGAGCTGTGCCCTGATGTCCACAAAACTATACTGCCCTGGAAGGGACTTTGGTGACAGTGGGTCTCATGGTACTTGTCCCATGCCAGGCCCACATATCAAGGCCTCCCACCAAGCCCTGGGCAGCCAAGCCTTGGGTCTTGAGCCCCAGCCTCTGGCCTCCAGAGCAAGGAGGCCAGGCCTCTGGTCTCCAAGAACAACTAAATGAGCCAGCCCAGCCAGGCTGCTCCAAAGGGCCGCCCAGCGTGCAGAGATGCAGCAGGGGGTCTCAGCAGTGAAGCTCCTCTCCTGGTTGGTTTTCCGACTTCTGGGAGAGTTTTTTTGTTTGTTTTATGTAGCAAGATGTATTCATTTCCCCCACCCCACCCCGGGGGTGGGGGTCCTTTCATTTCTTTTATGCTTAGACAGTTCATACGTATTCTTTTCCATTCTTTTCAGTGTTTTATAGTTTCACTTTTGAACGTTTAACTTTCGCCAAATGAGATTTGGCTAAAATGATATCCTGCCTTCACATATGCCCTCTTGAACCCCAGGTCCTCGTCTGGGCCGTCTGTCCTCGCGTGGGACGCTGTCTGGATGACTTGGGCATTACGCCAGTCCATCCTTGGCACTTAATAACTCACCGTAAGCTTGTCATGGGCTGACATTCCTCTTCTAGAAAGAATTTACATTTTCTGTCTTCAACCTTTCTATCCAGGAATTAGGCATATTTCCTCATTTACTCAAATCTCTTTTTATATTTCTCAGAAGGGTTTTATATTTTTTCTCTGTATGTCTCCTGGATGTTTCTGTTTTAGTTTAATCCTGGATATTTTCTATTTTTGTCATATCGATTGTGGTTTCTCCAGTATTCAGGAAAGCCCTTGATATTTGGCTAGTTATCTGATGTCCAGCTAGTGTTCGCTTCTCTTTCTTTGCGATTCTAGTTATTTTTCAGTTGATTCTTTTGAGTTTTCTGGGTAGGCAATCATATCCTTGAAAATAATGAAAATTTAGTCTCTTTCTTTCTAATAGCGTCACACTCTTAGTTTCGGTTTAGGGTTTATGACATTATGGGAGTGTCCAGAACAGAATGAAATAGCGGTGATGTCAGTAGGGGTCTGGTTTTGCTTCTTTTTTTTTTTTTTTTTTTTTTTTGGTTTTTGCTATTTTGGTTTTTGGCCACGTGGTATAGGGGAATGGGGAGGCCATGACTCCCGCAGCGCTGTTTATGGGTTCTTGGAAGCTCTGAGTGTTTCTGCCTTCCTGGCTGAGATCCTGCTTTCCTGCCCCTCTGGGACGCTTTCCCTGCCCTCCACCTGTCTGGCCCTCCAGGCTTCTTGTTTCTGGCAGTCCTTTTGTGAACAGGCCAAGCAACCAATCCTCCCTGGAGGTGACCATGACCCTGCCCTTGGCCCCTGGACAGGAGGCTAGGGTCCTCCCGATGTGCACACGCCTGGCGTGATCGTGTTGCTCATTCTCTGTGTGTGAGAGTGTGCAGGTTCCCAGAGGCCAGGGCTGGGCTTGTGACAGCTCCCCTCCCCGACTCTGAAACAGACAAGAAAGTTCCTTGTCCTTTCTCAGACATTTTGTTCCAAAGCTAGAAAGTCCCCTGCACATGTCCCTGGCATCCAAGCCCATAATCTAAGCCTGGCCTTGTGGTCCATGGAGAGGCTGAGCACAAGAGAGCCAGCCTGGCCGGGGCAAAGGGCAGTGGACCTCCAAGAAGCTAGGCCACCGGGCTGGCAGTGCTGCCCCTCCCTCTGCCCCTGGCCTGTGTCTCTTGTCAGCCTCAGCTTGGGAACTCGTCAAAGCGAGCCCTGTGTGCCACCATCTTCTTCTTGGGGTCTGGACACAATAAGCCACCCATACCTCGCCTGGGTGAAAGCACCCTCTGTCCTCCCTGCATCTCCCTTCTGACGGCCCCGCCGCCCAAGCTTTCTCCCGGTATGTGGTGAGGACTCTCCTGGAGGAAAGGCGGTGTGGGGGTCCCAGTGGGGAGGAAGGCAGACTCTTACTGGGTGAGTCCAGGGGCCTGGCCCTGTGCTGAGCACTGCCTGTGCAATCCATACTTACCCGTGAAGCAGGAGCTATTAACAGACCCACTTAATAGATGGAATGACTAAGGCCGAGAGAGGTGAAATAACTTGCTCAAGGTTATAGCCAGAAAAGGCAGTGCCACCCTCCAAACCCAGGCTGTCTCTGGCTTGAAGCCAAGATTTCTGGGTCCTTTGGGGCCCTGCCCAGGGCCATCGCCTGGTGCACGCTAGGGAAATGTGTTTGTTGGATCTCTCCCCCTTTCTGATGAATTAAGAAGCCCGGTGTCCTCCTCCTAGCTTGGTACATTCTATAATACCTCCCCCATCCCTCATGACGCCTCGGTGTGTAGAGCTTGACCACCCGAGAGGGTCATCCTCGGGGGTGACAGAGATATGGTGGGAAGGGATCCTGTCCAGGGCTGGAGACGCCTGCACACAAAGGCCGGGCCTGTAGGCCACATGGTCCCTGGAATGCTGGGCAGCTGCCCTTCCCCCAGCCTGGCCACTTGGGGCGCACCCCCGGTGTGTCCCCTCTCCCCACCTCTACTGGGAAATCGTCCCAGGCTGCCTCTGAAGCCTCCCTGGCTGGGACCCCCTGCAAGGCCACCCTCAACTCTGGCTTTAATGACAGCAAATAGACACTTTCTGGGGACGAGTGAGATGCCCGCTGAGGCACAAGAGGCCACACAGAGCTAAGGGATTGATTCTGGTGATGCTTCATCCGGATATGCCATGATACCAAGATACCGGGGCCCCTCCTTTCAGGAGTCTACAGACCTTTCCTGTGATCTTGACAATGACTTCCCTCTGTTCCCACCTGGAGAATCGGGGCACTGGCCTGGACACCATGCAGGTCTCCCCATCAGCCTTGCTCTGATTTCTCGGCATTAACCAGGAATGGACACCATTGGAGGAAGGTGGCTCTGGCCTTAGGTGCAGGGAGGGGCGGCTGAGGGGTCATGTCCCGGGATCAGCGCCTGGTATTTACGCCCATGTTCTTATTGGCTCTTCTTAACAACCGCTGCTGCAGATGGGGCTCAGACAAGCTTAGTGAGCTGTGCAAGGCCTCAGCCTTGGCCTGGGCACCCCGCACAGCCCCACCCCCAGCATGGCAAGCAAGAGTGGGTGCCGCTCTGCAAGCAGCATCTTTCGGTCTCGGTCTCTAAGGAGCAGAGTGGGTTGGTCCCCACAGGGCTGAGCTTTTTAAAGGGCTGCAGGAACCCTGTGGGGCCTTGGCTCCCACACTGGCTCACGCTCAAAGTGACCCGAATAGCTTCATACAGTGAGGATACCCAGGCCCCAGCCTGGCCCTCCTCACGCGGAGTGTCCAGGCATCAGGCTGCCCTGATGGGTGGCTCTGATGGTGTAGGCTCTGATGGGAGGGGAACTGGCACCCTGTTCCCCTGAGCTTCTGGTAATCGCAGGAGGCTCCAAAGAGGTAGATGCTCCTAGTCCAGCGACTGTTAACAAATGCCCAGGCCCTTACCTGGGTACCTTCAGCCGCTGTGGGCTCCAGGGAGCTCCCCAACGTGACCCGGCAGCTTTTCTCACTCCCCAAGGGGTGGAGACTAGCCCAGGTGCTCCCTCTGGGTGCCTGTGCCCCCTTGTGAATTGTTCATTTGTGCATTCCCTCACAAAACATTTATTTAGTGCCTGTCACATGAGCTCTGAGTCAGCTTTCTTAGGTCCAGATCCCAGTTGGGCCCACTTCTCATGTGGCCCTGGGCAGTGACTTGACCCTGCCTCAGCTTCAGAAGTGCCAGCTCCTGGGCTCAAGGACAAGTGCGTGAGATGAGGCCTGCACATAGCATGGGGCTGGCACACTCAGCCAGGGCTGAGGAAATGTAGGCCACTGTTAGCCAGCGTGGCTGGGAGCCCAGAGGGCCAGAGGGGCCCAGCCTTCGGGGGCCCAGAGTGCAGATTGCCAGGAGACGGACAAAGGCCCCTTGAGTACGAGGGAGGGATGGCGGCTGCAGAGCAGGTGGGGGAGGGCCCAGGGTGCTGGGCCCCGAGGGTGGCCTGTGCTCACGGTCTCTACTCTCTCCTCAGTACGGCAAGAAGAAGCTGAAATACCTGCCCTACAACCACCAGCACCAGTACTTCTTCCTGAGTGAGTGCCGGGGTGCCCCGCGGCCTCGCCCTAGAGCAGCCGGCTGTCCCACCCGACACCCTTTTCAGATCAGAGAGAGACACTGAACGTGTTAGAAAAGGAGGGGCCACAGCAGCCACCCCATGCAGACCCCCTCCTGGCCCATCATACTGACAGGACACAGAGGCCCAGAGAGTCAAACACTTGCACCGTGATCCCTGGCCCGGGAGTCGGGGGGAGTGGGGGGCGGTGAGGGGAGGCAGGACTATGACTGCTATCTGCTCCCAGTCCCCCCGCGGGCACCAGGGCCCGTGGCCGCCTCTGCCTGTGAGCTCCAGAGCCGGGCACCACACTGTGTCCCTGCCCCAGCTCATCCCCACCTTCCAGCTGGGACTGGGTGGGATAGGATGCCTTCTAAGCTCCTGCATTTTCTCCCCTGCAGTTGGGCCCCCGCTGCTCATCCCCATATACTTCCAGTACCAGATCATCATGACCATGATTGTTCATAAAAACTGGGTGGTGAGTCGAGGGGCACTACTGGCCTGGGGTGCGGGGAAGGAGGGTGTCTGGGCGAGGTGCCTGCGATGTCCCGCCGTGTGCCTCCGTGGGGCCCCGGGCATCTCCTCTGGGGGTGGTTGCCTTGTCGTTCAGAAAGGGACTTGCTCAGAAGCCGGGGGGCAATTATGCTCCTCTTCTAAAGACCCCTTCACACATGCGGGGGGCGGGGGTCCACTGGGAGCCACCGCCTTTGCAGAAACCCCTCAGAAAGTTCCTGAAGGCAATGTGATGTGAGCCAAACTCGCCCCGCCCATCCTCGGCTCTGCTCCAGCCATCACCCTCTCATGTCCCTGTGTGGCCCCCGAGACCCAGGAACTAGGTCGCACGGCACTCTGGTTGGTACATGGAGAGCAGTCTGGTGGTGGCTGAGACAGCAGGGTATTAATTCGCCAAGACTGACTGAGTGGCGGTTTTTTTTTAACATCAGAACTGTGTTGTCTCACAGTCCAAGGCGGAGGCGTGGCCGCGGCTGGGAAGAGGGGTCTGGCCCGGGCCTCTCCTTGGCTTATGGGTGGCCACCATCTTCTCCAAAGGTCTCCACATCGTCTTCCCTGTGTGTGTGTGTGTGTGTGTGTCTGTATCTATGTCCAAATTTCCCCTTTTTATAAGGACACCAGTCTTAATGGATTAGGGCCCACCCTAATGACCCCGACTTAACTAATTACAGCTGTAGCAATCCCGGCTCCACATGAGGTCATGTTGTGAGGTCCTCGGGGTTAGGGCTTCAACACATGCATTTTAGGGGACGCGGTCCTGTTACCATAGGCAGAGCCTGCTTATGACAGCGGGATTCACTGGGACAGCGAATGTAGCAGTTATTGCTGGTCCTTTTTTTTTTTTTTTTTAAATCCAGTTTCATAAATGAAGATATTGAGACGCTGAGAATTTGAGACTTGTCCAAGGTGACACGAAGGGGGTGGTTTGGGCTCTAGAGCTTCCCCATACTTCAGGCACCCGTCTCTCCCCGATAACAATCCCATGTATTCTTATAGCATTTTAAAGTCCTCGAAGCGCTTCGTCCTATACCCCGCCTTTGAAAGTATGGGCGAAGGAGCCGGGCCTGCGGGTTCTGCTGAGAGGCCAGGACCAGACTCAGGGGCAGCGCGGGTTGGGGAGGAAGCATGACTCTGGAAGCCTCTGCCAGCCCTGCGCTGCGGAGCCTGTCCCTACAACCCACTTCTAGGACATGCTCCCCTGCCCGCCGCGAGCATTTTGTCAGCACTGAAATCTCGTTCCAGGAACAGAAGTCATTTAACCCTGTTTTGTGAACAGGCAGGTATGCCCTGGAGGGGCGGAGTTTCTGGAGCAGTTCTGTGGTAGGGACTCAAACCCAGATCTCTTGCTCCTAAGGTGACTGCTGTTTGCAGTGGGCTCACCTGGGCCCTGGAGCGGGTCGTGGCTGACAAGTCGTGGCTGAGTCCGATGATGCTGCTGGGGATATTTTAACCTGCTCTTCTGGCAGATGACTCCCGACATGAATATTTAATCCTTTTGACTGTGTGTGTTCCCTAAGGAACAAAGTGATTAAGTAGGGACAGCAGGAAAGGGAAGCAGACTGTACCTGAGAGGGATCCAATGGCAGAGCCAGGGAAATTGGATAGGGCCCCTCGGGCCTTTCAGGGCCCTCAAGGCAGTAGGGAGCCCACGTGGCCCTGCCCTCGCCTCTGCCAGGAAACAGGGTGCAGGCAGGGCGGGCGGGTGGGCCGGGCCTCCTGACTGTCCCAGACTTGGGCGTGGGGATTCAGGCAGATGGGACACAGCACCCCTCTCAGGGGCCGTGACCAAGTGGCTAGAGGCATGTGGTCTCCTAACTTACAGCAACAGCAGGCTTAGGTGCCAAGTGCTGCTGTGACCTGGGCCAGCGGTCCTCAACAGGGACAGTTCTAGTGGGCCTTTTGGCAATATCTGCAGACATTTTTGTCACAACTAGGTAGGGAGCAGGAGGAAATGGAGTGCTACTGGCATCTACTGGGCATCTAGCCAGAGAGGCAGCTCAACGTCCTAGCGTGCACAGGACGGCCCCCCACAACTAAGAATTATTCAGCCTCAAACGCTACCCGCATGGAGCTTAAGAAACCCTAACCTGGAGGAGAGGGGTTGATACATTCTAAGAACATAGAGGAGGGAGGTTTTTACTGCTCTGGCAGTGTTGCCAGCGGCCACGTCCTGGGGACACCTCTCAAGCCTCACCTTCCAGGAGATCTGCCATATCTGACACCATTACCCTCTCCTGAAGTTCTCCCTGTCAGCTTTCAAGTCCCCTCTGCTGGTTCCTCCACCT